CAAGTCAACTTCTTAGAATACTGAGCTTCAAAGGTTGTAGCGGGGACGGGGAAGGAAGGAAAGACAAAGGAGGTGGTGAAAGACTGTGTGTGAAAGTATGTGAAAAGATAGTATGCATATACGTACGTACGTACGTACGTACGTACGTACTGTATGTATGTATGTATGCATGCATGCATGCATGCATGTATGTATGTATGTATGTGTGACAAAGTTGGGTGTGAAAGATGGTGTGTGTGAAAGTGACGTGAGTGCGCGACAGTGCAGACATTTTTTTGTGAGGTTGTGAGGTTGTGCCACGCCTGCCACGCAAAGTGCCGCGGCGTCCCGGGCGTCACGGGGAACCAAGCCAGTCCAAGCGCGCCACCCAGTGCCATGAGTGCCACGCCTGCCACGCGAAACGATGGTGGATGTGAGATTGTGCCACGCCTGCCACGCAAAACTAAGGTGGATGTGAGGTTGTGCCACGCCTGCCACGCAAAGTGCCGCGGCGTCACGGGCGTCACGGGCGAGTCCAAGCGCGCCACCCAGTGCCATGAGTGCCACGCCTGCCACGCGAAACGATGGTGGATGTGAGATTGCGCCACACCTGTTACGTGAAACGAAGGTGGATGTGAGGTTGTGCCATGCCACGCAAAGTGCCGCGGCGTCACGGGCGTCACGGGCGAGTCCAAGCGCGCCACCCAGTGCCATGAGTGCCACGCCTGCCACGCGAAACGATGGTGGATGTGAGATTGTGCCACGCCTGCCACGTGAAACGAAGGTGGATGTGAGGTTGTGCCACGCCTGCTACGCCTGCCACGCAAAGTGCCGCGGCGTCCCGGGCGTCACGGGCGACCAAGCCAGTCCAAGCGCGCCACCCAGTGCCATGAGTGCCACGCCTGCCACGCGAAACGATGGTGGATGTGAGATTGTGCCACGCCTGCCACGCAAAACGAAGGTGGATGTGAGGTTGTGCCTGAGAGAGGGTATGTGACAGTGAAGTTATAGTATGTGACAGATGGTATGTGACAAAGTTGTGTGTGTGATTGTGTGTGAATTATTGTGTGTGAAGTTATTGTATGTGAGAGATGGTATGTGTGTAAAGTTATTGTATGTCATGTGTGTGAAGTTATTGTATGTTAAGTTTGTGTGTGAAGTTGCTGTATGTGAGAGATGGTATGTGACAAAGTTGTGTGTTAAGTTTGTGTGTGAAGTTATTGTATGTGAGAGATAGTTTATAGTATGTGACAAAGTGGTGTGTGTGTGTGAATTATGGTGTGTGAAGTTTTTGTATGTTAAGTTTGTGTGTGTGAAGCTATTGTATGTGAGAGTTGTGTGTGTGTGTGTGTAAAGTTATTGTATGTCATGTGTGTGTGAAGTTATTGTATGTTAAGTTTGTGTGTGAAGTTATTGTATGTGAGAGATGGTATGTGTGTAAAGTTATTGTATGTCATGTGTGTGAAGTTATTGTATGTTAAGTTTGTGTGTGAAGTTATTGTATGTGAGAGACGGTATGTGACAAAGATGTGTTTTAAGTTTGTGTGTTAAGTTTGTGTGTGAAGTTATTGTATGTGAGAGATAGTTGTGTGTGAGTGTGTGGAGGCGGGAGGAGGCGGAGGCGGCGGCGGAGCAGACCCGGGATACAGAATCAAAAACAAGAACCCCACACAAAGATGTGGGGAACAACAAAAAGTTAAACAATTGCAAGGGCGAGGCTGCACGAAGAAGACAGGCTAGTAGGAAGAGAGCGAGGGAAAGAAAGGAAATATGGAGAAGATGTAAGATGTGAAGATGTAACGCAGACACTTTCACACACAAACGCTTTTACACACAGAAGCTCTTACTCAGAAACGTTTTGACACGCAGACGCCTCTACATACACAGACGCCTTTACATACACAGACGCCTTTACACACAGAAGTTTTTTCACACACTCACACGCTTTTACACACAAACGTTTTCACACAGACACTTTTACACACAGATCGCCTTTACACACAAACGCTTTTACACGCAGATGTCTTTACACATCTTCACACACACACACGCAACTGCTTTTACACACACAGACACCTCTACACACAGAAGCTTTGACAAACAAACGCCTTTACACAGAAAACCACTCACCTCATCTTGATAACACTTTCGGGGCTCAACCTGTTTGTGCAAATATGCAATGAACATGTCCATCACCCCATCATACCACCTTTAGGGCCCAACTTTTTTTTGCAAATCTTATTGCTAATAAGTATTATGGAAAACGCCGCTGACCTCATCTTTTTAATACCTTCGGGGCTGAACCTTTTTTGCGTAAACTTTACTTTTGAACAACTCTTTTTTTTCTCGGTGGTATTTTTGTTTCCCTTTCGGACTAGTGTCGGATGGTCGTCAGCGTGTCCAACTTGCGGATGTGGTGCTTCTCCCACTGGTCCCGCACCTTATGACCCGCCTTCACCATGGTCTTCATGATCATCTCATCAGCCAACGTCTGGTTCTTCTGTGTGGCCTGGGCAAAATATAGGGTTGATGAGGATGGAAGAAAAATCAAAGGAGAAAAATTCAATGAACGCATGAAATATTCTGAAATGCAAATTAACAAAAAATAACATGCGTAACATGTTAATTCTCAAGTTCGAGCGGTTCCAGTATATACATCATGAATATGGATGTAAACCGTTTGCAGCAGGTCGTGCCTGAATGAGCTTTTGACTCGTGGTGCGGACGGCCTCGTCCAAATCCAACCCAGACTTTCCTTGCAAGGCTCCAAGGTTGCTGCAGCTGCGGCTGAAGCCATTCGTCGACAGAGCAAAAATGCCAAGACAGACGACCATAGCCTCGGATGTCTGCCCTCCAGCAAGCCAACACAAAATTAAACATAGTTAATCGTATCACTGGTGGATCCACGCTCAATGGGGAAAAGAAGTGGAACTAAAATATAAAAACAAATAATGTAAAATAAAATAGCAACACAATATAGTACCAGTAGTACCGCGCAAGTCGGTGGCGAAAGTTTCAAAGATAGGAAACTATAGGAGTGTTGTGATACAATGATGGCAGGGCGAATCTACTGATGGACCGAAAGGCGGTTGTGAATTTTAGAGTGGTTGCAGTGGTCACAACACCCACACCTGCAAGATGTAGTGTGGTGTAGCGAAGTGCAATGTAATGGTAGTTGTAGTTGTAGTGTAGTTGATGTTGTTGAAGCTGTAATGTTGTAGTTGTAGTTGTGGTTGTAGTTGTAGTTGTAGTGTGGTTGAGGTGTAGTTGAAGTTGTAGTTGTAGTAATTGTAGCAGTCGTCGCCGTAGTAGTGGTAGTAGTAGTAGTAGCAGCAGCAGCAGTAGTAGTAGTACTAGTAGTAGTAGTAGTAGTAGTAGTATTAGTAGTAGTAGTACTAGTAGTAGTAGTAGTAGTAGTAGAAGTAGAAGTAGTAGTAGTAGTAGAAGAAGTAGTGGTAGTGGTAGTGGTAGTGGTAGTGGTAGTGGTAGTGGTAGTGGTAGTGGTAGTGGTGGTGGTGGTAGTAGTAGTAGTAGTAGTAGTAGCAGTTGTAGTAGCAGTTGTAGCTGCAATTCTAGTGGGAGTGTAGTTGTAGTTGTAGTGTAGTGCAGTTGTAGTTGTAGTTGTAGTCGCAGTGGCAGTCGTACTCGTAGTGGTGTAGTGTATAGTGTAGTGTAGTGTAGTGGTAACTGTTGTTGTTGTAGTGTATAGTTGAAGTTGTAGTTGCAGTTGTAGTTGCAGTTGTAGTGTAGTTGTAATTGTAATTGTAGTTTACTGGTGGTGGTAGTTGTAGTTGTAGTGTAGTGGTAGCTGTAGTTGGAGTAGTTGTTTGCTGAAGTGTAGTTGAAGTTGTAGTTGTAGTGTAGTCTGGTTGCAGTGGTCTATCCTATCTGTCTACCCGGTCTACCTATCTACCAATCTGTCTGTCTGCAAGCTTGAAACGCAGCAATTCTGCGAGACTTCCTCAATTTTTGAACTTGACAACATCAAAAACGCAGCAATTCTGCGAGACTTCCGCAATTTTTGAACTTGACAACGCCAAAAACGACGCAATTCTGCGAGACTTCGAAGTTGACAACATCAAATACGAAGCAATTCTGCGAGACTTCCTTCAAACATGTTGAGTGCAGAGCTGACGGCCTCGTACCATTGCGCTTTGCGATGTTTCCATTCCATCTGTCTAAAGTACTGCGTCTGCCATGAAAAAGTGAGGGCAGGTCATACGAAGTGCTGCACCTGTCACGCAAAATCATCTGACCAAACTTGAAGATCTGACGCTCCAAAATGCAACCCTCTCAGGAAATCTGCGCCCTGACCTCCTAACATGTCTCTTGTACTGCGGCTGCCACGCGAAATGCATCTTTGCAGATCCTCTTCAAATGTCCCACACTTGCCAACGTTTTTGAAACTGCTGCGAAGCCGTCAGGTTTGGCTCACTTTTGGGAAGGTGTAGAATCTCTTGCGCCTGCCACGCAAAACCACATACTTTCAAAAGTGGTCCTAACCCCGTCAGATTTGAACACGACATGTGCTTCGCGCCACAACCGCGTGCACTTTACATCTCAATTCTTAAAAGCGCTCGAAATCTGAGGTGCTTTTACACTTTTGGCTTCCAAATGTGCATCGCGCCACAATGGCGTGCGCTTTTCAACAGCTCAACTTCGACAAGTGCTCCAGAGTGCTCCAAACATGTGGTGTTTTTTGAGCATTCTGACTTCGAAATGTGCTTCGCGCCACAGCGGCGTGCATTTTTTCATCTCTCACTTGCCAGATGGCTCCGCACCCGCCGCTTTAGCGAGCCCACTTTTCGATCCTCCGGAGCCACAAATCATTGGAAAAACACAGACTTTTGCGACTTTGCTACCTTTTCGCACACCTCCATCTTCTTTCTTCTCTTCTCTTCTCTTCTCTTCTCTGACTCTTCCCATCTCTGCTTTTTCATCCGTCCATATTGTCGGAAGTTTGACTTCTAAGCTTCCTTCGAACATATAGTAACATATAGGTCCGTGCTAATCCAGGTAGCAGCTGCCACTGCTAGAACCATCTTCTTTAACAGGGACCGCTTCGTTTGGAACGATTGGTCCTCAACGTCGCTCGCAGCATTCACCCTGTTGAAGGCGGACATGCTGACGGTCGATAGCTTCCAAGCAGCCAACAGGATCGAGGAAAAGCGCAAAAGATTTCTGAGCTATAATGGCTTCTTCAAATTCCCGAGGAACTGCATTGAACTGCATTGCTTGATATATTGCGTGATATATTTCTTGATATTGCTTGTGGCCGGAAAAAATGGCAAAAAATATGGTCCCTCTGGTAGATTCCTACCCACATGCATCATCCATCACGCTTGTGATATCTGTCCTGTTGGTGTGTTGCGAACAGGCACGTCCAAACCCAATGTCCCGCCTGCACTCCAAAGCGACAGGTGACTTCAAACGCTAACAGCGCCCCAACGCCTGGGGGTAAAGAAACCAGAAGGAAAAGATCCACACGCGCAAGCCTGGGCACTGGGGAATGGTGGTACAAGTGGTACCGGATCGATGCAGGCTGCTTCAAGGCCCGTCAATCCCAAATGGTAAATTAATTGGAGTGTCAAATTCATGCCAAAAAGTCCTGGGGAATTGGGTAGACTGCAATGACTGCAAATAAAACTGTTGCGTCATGCTGCAAGACCCACCATCAACCCACAGGGATAGGCAGTGTAGATACCGGAGGTCAGCATCCACAGGTCAGTCCAGCCACATACTGGTCATATCCAAGATGAGCTCATCAATCCGCAGAGCAGCGCCCGGGTCAACCTGTATGCCAAACAATTCCATCACATCCAAGTGCCAGTCATGATAATGATGATACCATCATGATATTATCGATTCATTCCATGTATTACTCTATGAAGTATAATTTTGATATCGGCATATCGTCTTAGGAACACGCTCAGAAATTTGTTGCAATTTGAGTAAAACAATAGTATACCATCCCAAATTTGACCATAAATGAATGGTATAAACCATCAGAATATGGGGGTTTATGATTGTTTTACTCACATTGCGGAGAAATCCACCATCCACGACCCTTTTCCCCGGTTTCGCACCCCTGCAGCGGTAACAGATGTGGCAAAGCGCAAGGCTGCAGTTGGAAGGGAACCTTCACCACCGTGCAACACCAAGACCTGGCATCGGATGCATCGGCCAATCAAAATGACGGAAACTCATGACGCATGGCTCCCCCACCGGTGACATTTCTTAACATTTTGTTTTTAATGCAGGAGACCTACCCATGCCTCTTCAACCTCCTTTGAAGCACTCCATATTCACATCATTTCATCAAAATTCATCAAGCAAAGATATATCCAGATTATATCCACAATTATCAATTTCAACCATTATCAGTAACATGATGTAACATGTCTCAATCCCAGGCGCTCGTTTGCCATAGACCACATCCCTGGCGAAGTGCTCGTGGATTTCCAAGGGTGACACATAGTGGTTGGACCAATGCGTCCGATCCAAGGCGAGGGACTCAGAGGACAGGGCTCCGAAATGGCATGGCGAAGTGGGGGGGCATTTCAAGCACATATATTACATCTCATCATATATATATATATCTGATTGGTGGTATACCTATTCCTGTCAAAAATCTTAGTCAGTTGGGAAGGATTATCCCATATATTATGGAAAATAAAAAATGTTCCAAACCACCAACCATATAAATATATATATATATAATTATATATATATACCTAGAGCTACAAAGACCCACGAAATTGAAGGCCCAGTCAAAAAAATGGAGAAAAAACACGTTCTTCATTTTCGGTGTTTTTATCTAATGCTCAGACGGAACAAGTACACCCGTGAAATCAAACAAAGCAGGATTCAGCTCTGGCACCAACTCATTAACATAGCATCCGGTGCCGTTGAGCGCCCCGGGGAAAAAGAACTAGGTAGATTTCGGGACCATTGGGCACCAACTCATTAACAGAGCACCCGGTGCCGTTGAGCTAATAATTTGCATTCCCCAGGAAATGGAGACAAAAAAATTGCGATGGGTGCTAACATGGCACCTGAAAAAGACTGACCTAGCTGGAATCCTGGAAGGCAGAAATGCTATATTAGCATCAATTTGCTCAGAAAACATGTCCATACCCCTCACAGCACTATGAAAACTTGTTCTTGAACATGTTGTACAGCTGCTATGCCAGTTGCTCATTGTTTCCCCATAGCTCATTCCATTTGTTTGAACTGGCAAAGGTCTGGAGATGCTATGTTTAGCACATAGTTGTTCTTTTGGGGTGGGTGTCCTTCCCAATCACGCACCCCAACCCCCTGGCGTTTGAGTATTCCACCCTAGAATGCTGTTCGTTTGTGCATTCCCCTAGATGTGCATTCCACCCTAGAAAACTAACTTAACAATTCGGGGATGAGCCCTTACGCAGGATTCAGCTCTGGCATCAACTCACTGACATAGCATCCGGTGCCGTTGGGCACCCCGGGGAAAAGGAATTAGGTATATTTTGGGACCGTAGGACACCAACTCATTAACAGAGCACCTGGTGCCGTTGAGCTAATAATTTGCATTCCCCAGGAAATGGAAACAAAAAAATTGCGATGGGTGCTAACATGGCACCTGAAAAAGACTGACCTAGCTAGAATCTTGGAAGGCAGAAATGCTATATTAGCATCAGTTTGCTCAGAAAACATGTCCATACCCCTCACAGCACTATGACTATGAAAACTTGTTCTTGAACATGTTGTACAGCTGCTATGTTAGGTGCCCATTGTTTCCCCATAGCTCATTCCATTTGCTTGAGGTGGCAAAGGTCTGGAGATGCTATGTTTAGCACATAATCCCTTCCTCCTAATACCAAACGTCCCCCCCTAATAATAAGCACGGCAGGTAGTTTTTAGTATGAAGGTGGTATTTATTATTAGGGAACCCTACTGATAAAATTAAACCCTTAATAGTAAAGACTATTTTTTCCGATCTCAAAATCAATGAAATTTCCTTATACAACGCAATTAAAATATTGCCAAAAATTGGATTTCGAAGCTTCCCCCTAATATTAAATGAAAACCCTTAATAATAATAACTAGTTTGTTCGATTTCAAAATCAATTAAATTTCCTTATTTAACGCAATTAAAATATTACCAAAAATTGGATTTCGAAGCTTCCCCCTCTAATATTAAATTCAAACACTTCATAATAAAAACTAATTTGTTCGATTTCAAAATCAATTAAATTTCCTTATATAACGCAATAAAAATATTGCCAAAAAATGGATTCCGATGCTTCCCCTAATATTAAATTAAAACCTTTAATAATAAAAACTAGTTTGTTCGATCTCAGAATCAAGGAAATTTTCTTTTGTAACGCATATATAACGCAATATACATATTGCCAAAAATTGGATTTTGAAGCTTCACCCTAATAATAAACACCCCGGGGTTGACTAGTTTTTAGCATTCGGGGAGAAAACCCACAAATCTTAGCTTCATTTTTAAATTGTTTTCTAAAGGGGATCAATTAAAAGTCAAATTGGCCAATCCGAAATTTTCCAAAATTGGAGATGGACAAAATTTTCCAAAATTGGAGATAGACACTAGTTTTTAGTATTAGTATTTTCGCGGGGTTTAGTAATAGGAGGAAGGGATTAGTTAGTTGTTCTTTTGGGGTGGGTGTCCTTCCCAATCACGCACCCCAACCCCCTGGCGTTTGAGTATTCCACCCTAGAATGCTGTTCGTTTGTGCATTCCCCTAGATGTGCATTCCACCCTAGAAAACTAACTTAACAATTCGGGATGAGCCCTTACGCAGGAGTCAGCTCTGGCACCAACTCATGGGCATAGCATCCGGTGCCGTTGAGCACGCCGGGGAAAAGGAATTAGGTAGATTTTGGGACCATTGGGCACCAACTCATTAACATAGCACCCGGTGCCGTTGAGCTAATAATTTGCATTCACCAGGAAATGGAGACAAAAAAAATGCGATGGGTGCTAACATGGCACCTGAAAAAGACTGACCTAGCTAGAATCCTGGAAGGCAGAAATGCTATATTAGCATCAGTTTGCTCAGAAAGCATGTCCATACCCCTCACAGCACTATGAAAACTTGTTCTTGAACATGTTGTACAGCTGCTATGCCAGGTGCTCATTGTTTCCCCATAGCTCATTCCATTTGTTTGAACTGGCAAAGGTCTGGAGATGCTATGTTTAGCACATAGTTGTTCTTTTGGGGTGGGTGTCCTTCCCAATCACGCACCCCAACCCCCTGGCGTTTGTGCATTCCACCCAATAGAATGCTGTTCGTTTGTGCATTCCCCTAGATGTGCATTCCACCCTAGAAAACTAACTTAACAATTCGGGGATGAGCCCTTACGCAGGAGTCAGCTCTGGCACCAACTCATTAACATAGCATCCGGTGCTGTTGAGCACCCCGGGGAAAAGGAATTAGGTAGATTTTGGGACCATTGGGCACCAACTCATTAACATAGCACTCGGTGCCGTTGAGCTAATAATTTGCATTCCCCAGGAAATGGAGACAAAAAAATTGCGATGGGTGCTAACATGGCACCTGAAAAAGACTGACCTAGCTAGAATCCTGGAAGGCAGAAATGCTATATATTATAAATGGGCTAACGCCCTGGTGCCGCCGACCTCCCCATTAAGGGGGGGCTAGGCAGGGGTCGGCGGAGATACACACATATACCTAGAGCACCCTCAGGCTAGAATTTGAGCCTGAACGTGTTCGGACCGTTTTTTCTGCCTGACCTTTGAAATGTCGCCTGCCTTTAAATTCTCGCCTGGAAATGCTTTCTGCAATTATGCTCAAGATGGCATTTCCAGCCTGAATGGACAATCTCGCCTGAATTGATGTTCAGGCTAAAAGACAGCCCGCCCCCCAAAATGGCTACTATTTGGTTTCAGCCTCAAATTGCCGCCTGAGTGCCTGGTCGAAGGTGCCGCGGAGCGTTTTAGGCATTTGAGGGCGGGCAAACGGCAGCCTCGAACGCCGATAGTCGCAGATGGCTGTGGCCTGAGTGCCTGGTCGAAGCTGCCGCGGAGGGTTTTAGGCCTTTGAGGGCGGGCAAACGGCAGCCTCGAATGCCGATAGTAGCAGATGGCTGTGGCCTGCGTGCCTGGTCGAAGCTGCCGCGGAGGGTTTTAGGCCTTTGAGGGCGGGCAAACGGCAGCCTCGAATGCCGCTATAGCAGCAGATGGCTGTGCCTGGTCGAAGCTGCCGGTGGAAGCTGCCGCGGAGGGTTTTAGGTTTGAGGGCGCGCAGACGGCAGCCTCGAACACCGATAGATGCCGATAGTAGCAGATGGCTGTGGCCTGAGTGCCTGGTAGAAGCTGCCGCGGAGGGTTTTAGGCCTTTGAGGGCGGGCAAATGGCAGCTTCGAACGCCGATAGTAGCAGATGGCTGTGGCCTGAGTGCCTGGTCGAAGCTGCCGGTCCAAGCTTCCGCGGAGCGTTTTATAGGCCTTTGTGAGGGCGGGCAAACGGCAGCCTCGAACGCCGATAGTAGCAGATGGCTGTGGCCTGCGTGCCTGGTCGAAGCTGTCGCGGAGCGTTTTAGGCCTTTGAGGGCGGGCAAACGGCAGCCTCGAATGCCGATAGTAGCAGATGGCTGTGGCCTTCCTGCCTGGTCGAAGCTGCCACAGAGCGTTTTAGGCCTTTGAGGGCGGGCAAACGGCAGCCTCGAACGCCGATAGTCGCAGATGGCTGTGGCCTGAGTGCCTGGTCGAAGCTGCCGCGGAGGGTTTTAGGCCTTTGAGGGCGGGCAAACGGCAGCCTCGAACGCCGATAGTAGCAGATGGCTGTGCGCTTGAGTGGCTGGTCGAAGCTGCCAGTCGAAGCTGCCGCGGAACGTTTTAGGCCTTTGAGGGCGGGCAAACGGCAGCCTCGAACGCCGATAGTAGCAGATGGCTATGGCCTGCGTGCCTGGTCAAAGCTGGCGCGGAGCGTTTTAGGCCTTTGAGGGCGGGCGAATGGCAGCCTCGAACGCCGGTAGTAGCAGATGGCTGTGGCCTGAGTGCCTGGTCGAAGCTGCCGCGGCGGGTTTTAAGCCTTTGAGGGCGGGCGAACGGCAGCCTCGAACGCCGATAGATGCCGATAGTAGCAGATGGCTGTGGCCTGAGTGCCTGGTCGAAGCTGCCGGTCGAAGCTGTCGCGGAGGGTTTTAGGCATTTGAGGGCGGGCAAACGGCAGCTTCGAACGCCGATAGTAGCAATGGCTGTGGCCTGCGTGCCTGGTCGAAGCTGCCGCGGAGCATTTTAAAGCTTTGAAGGCGGGCAATAGTAGCAGATGGCTGCGGCAAACCCAGATAGCTATGGCCTGAGTGCCTGGTCGAAGCTGCCGCGGACGGTTTGAGGCGTTTGAAGGCCCGGAAACGGAACAGGTTCCACACCTGCGGTGGTCCCAGGCGCCGCCCCTGCCTTGGCAAAGGCCGGGGTCGGCAGATTTTCGGTACGGGACGGCGTTGTCGCAAAGAAAAGTTTTGTTTACCAGTGCCCATTTTGCAATGGACTTGTGAACAGCAACGTCAGGGCGAATCGACCATCGAACTGTGTGCAACAATCAATTTTACGTCAAGGACGGTGAAGTCAGCAAGCAGACACGGCGTCATGCGCACAGTTGCCCGGTCTGCTCCACTGTTGTTTGGTCATCGCTGTCATGTGGCCGCATTGCTGTCAAGCATGACATGCCATCGGGAAAACCATGTCACAACAAGCAGTGGCACGTTCCCGAGAAAAAGACAACGAAAACAAAAAAGAAATAAGAGCCTCCTTAAAAGGACACTGCCACGGCCTCAGGGACTTGTTGGAGCTGCAGGAAAGGTCTGCCGCGGCCTGAGTGGCGCCTGGGAGCTGCAGGGGAGGGTTTGGGGAGTTTTGAGGGCTGGCAAACGGCAGCCTTGAACGTCCATAAAAAGACGCTGTGGCATGAGTGGCTCGTGGGAAGTGCACAGAAATTGCTGTGGCCTGAGTGGCTCCTGGGCGGTGAACAGAGGGTGCTATGGCCTGGGTGGCTCGTGGAAAGTGCAAAGCATTGGGAACGAAAAAAAGTTCCACACCTGCGGTGGTCCCAGGCGCCGCCCCTGCCTTGGCTAAGGCAGGGGTCGGCGGATTAGCATCAGTTTGCTCAGAAAACATGTCCATACCCCTCACAGCACTATGACTATGAAAACTTGTTCTTGAACATGTTGTACAGCTGCTATGTTAGGTGCTCATTGTTTCCCCATAGTTCATTCCATTTGTTTGAACTGGCAAAGGTCTGGAGATGCTATGTTAAGCACATAGTTGTTCTTTTGGGGTGGGTGTCCTTCCCAATCACGCACCCCAACCCCCTGGCGTTTGCGCATTCCACCCTGGAATGCTGTTCGTTTGTGCATTCCCCTAGATGTGCATTCCACCCTAGAAAACTAAACTTAACAATTCGGGGATGAGCCCTTACGGAGCCGCGGCAGATGCCAGGTTAGCATCAATCTGACCACATGAAGCTGATGTCGTGCAGCTGCTATGTTAGCTGTTTGCAACGAAAAACCGAAAACTAACATACTGCAAAAATCTTTTTTTATCTTTATTTTGCAACAAGATGGTTTTCACCAGAGTATTTGCTTTTCTTCTTGATCTACTTATTGGGTTTCAGCAAGTAGTTGATCCATACCATCGTGCAAAGTAGAATTGCTCCAATTGCGGGTGCTCTTCAAGTCAGAACTGGATCTGATTCGTTGTGCCAGCAAGAGGTTACTCTCTCGCATATATGATGGCCCAACTTTGTTCAGAAATGTGCTGCGTCCAAGAGTGTCATATTCAATTATAGCTACAAGTGCCGCAAATCAAAACAAAGTCACAGCATGATTATTCCAAACATGTTTGTATGCGGGGCATGGATCATCTTCGGCACTGATAATTGACGCTCATGTGTGCTGTCCTTTACACCGAGTCGAACAAAATCAGCGTCACAGCCACTCATTTCTGCAGGGAAAAAACTGTACGGGTTAGTATGGGTTAATTATGGGTCTTTTACGGGTTAATGGGTTCTTAAAAACGGTTTTTTTAATTCCCAAAATATGGGTTTGTATGGGGAAAATTGGGTTTAGTACGGCTTTGGTTCGGTAAAATATGGTTTTTCATGGTGGACCAAAAAAAAACATGTAAAACCCATCGGAAATCTGATAAAATCGCGATATTTGAGGATTTCCCATCGAAAATTCGGAAAAAGTCCGGCCGGGAGTTTAAAATTCCGGGTAGGAAATTCCAGAAATCTAAAATTCCAGGCCGGGAATGTTGGTATTCTATTTGAAATAGGTAAGAAACATGCTAACAAGACAACATATTCTCCTGCGACTCAGGTTTTCAGAGATTTGGGTGATTCGATTATCACGTATGTTCTTCACTATTTCGAGAAAAGGATCATCATCCCACACCAAATCCCAAAAGGTTGCCATAAGCAATCTTTGAAATCATATATAATGCCCAATACCCCGAAAAAAAGAACGTTTTTGTTTGATAAAGACCAGGTTTTTTGGCAACATGCATAGAAAAACCGGGTTTCTGAAAAGAGCCCTACAAATTTGTGGGTCCATGTTGCTGATGGTATATTTAATATGATATATGGCATACATAGAGATCCATGCTAGTATAAAAACATGTTATTTTTTGACAATTTATTGACAAATTAACACTAATTACTGTACTAGCGTTTTTCTTGCAAAGCCAATGTGATTCATTAAGATATGTACATATTCTATGGGAAATCATTTAGGATCATTTACTATAGGTGCAATTAGAACCATTGATCGATATTTAAATCTCATAAATAGAACAAAAAATATCGTAATTAATCATAATTATCCAATTTGTCAATTTGCTAGATTTGTGTAGCCGAGGTGGAAAGATGCGGTTCTCTGGTTGAAATTTGGCTGGATGAGCAGTCTTGGGAATTAATTTTTATTGATCTTGCAAGCTGGAAGCAGGCCCATGATTTGCACAGGTCAAACTGGTGGTCAGATTCAAACTTGACTCCTGTCACCGCCGCACATTTTCTGTCAGCGGAGGATCAAATTCTAGAAGTATTAGAAATACTGTCGACGATCAGGGCTCCCCGTTCGGGGAACTGTACCGCTCACCGCTGGTACAGCCGGCACTCGAGAGACCAGCACTGGGGTTCCTATCACAGCGGGAACAGCCGTTGGCACGGCTGTTGGCACGGCCGCCATCTTGGCGCGGTCCAGGACGCGCGTGTGGGATCCAGGGGAACTGGAGCGCATGGCACCGGTGGTGTGGCGCTGATATGGTGCAACTGGGAGCATGGCTGAACCACCTCGGACCTCTGCAGGAATCATCTGGTCAGCGCTCCAGGACGGTAAGGGCACGGAAACTCGAGGGTCCTTGGCAAAGGGTACTTTAGATCTGTAAAGATGCAATAGATGCAAATTGTCAATGCTGGTGTTTCAACACCCCTTTGATGCACCTCGAGCACAAAAATTGGATGATGTATCCTACCTGGTCCTACCTGGAGAGGAATTTGAATTCCCAACATGCCAAACCAACAAATCCGCCGGCCTGCCAGCGTGTCTTGTGGATCTTGTTTGTTCGTAGTTGTACTGTCTGTCTTGTCTTTTGTCTTGTCTCTAGACTTCCCCCTTGGCGCGGATTTTTGCTTTGTCTAACCCATTGTGCAGAACACCTTACACACTTGTAACCTTTCTAGCCCTTTTCCAAAACCCTGGTTTACACACTACTCATGCTTTGGTTTAAACTTAAACGGTGGTTTACACAAAAGCCATGTTTTGCGTAAAAGCCGCGGTTTACACAAAACACTGTTTTACACCAACACTGCGTTATACACAAAAACCATGTTTTACACAAAACCCATGTTCTTGCTAGGCCTGTGCAAGCGCTTTTGCGGCTTGCAGGATAGTCGGATAGCTCTTTCCATGGTGGCTGGCGGAACAAGCCGAAGGCGTTCAGATTACTCAACCTCTAGAATTGACCCCCAAAACTCATCAATAGTACGTATAGTATAGTGCATTAAAGCACCAGATAACCTCACATGTCAACTTCTTCCAATAAGCACAAAAAATGTGATCATGAGATGGTAAAGGCAGGAAAGATATATAGATGATATAGGAGATGGACAACATATTGTGTTTGTGATATTTTGTGATTGTTTATGCGTGACAAGGGAAGGTTGCGCGTGACAATGTTGTATGTGAAAGAGTCGTGTGTAAAAGGTTGCGCGTGACAAAGTTTTTAGTGCAAAAGAGTTTTGTGTTAAAAAGTACAGAATCAAGGATCGAGGATCGAAAATCGAGAATTGAGGATCGAGAATCGAGGGATCGAGAATCGAGGAATCAACAATCGAGGATCGAGGATCGAGAATCGAAAATCGAGAATTGAGGATCGAGAATCGAGAATCGAGAATCGAGGATCGAGAATCGAGAATCGAGAATCGAGAATCGAGAATCGAGGATCGAGAATCGAGAATCGAGGATCGAGGATCGAGAATCGAGAATCGAGAATCGAGAATCGAGGATGGAGAATCGAGGATCGAATCGAGAATCGAGGATCGAGAATCGAGGAATCAAGAATCGAGGATCAAGAACCGAGAATCTGAGAATTGAGTCGAGAATCGAGGACCGAGGATCGAGGATCGAGGATTGGATCGACATCGAAAATCGAGGATCGAGAATGGGGCTTGTGAAGCCGGGTCGGAAAAAAATGTGTGTGACAAAGTGGCGTGTGTGTGTGTGTGAAATTGCTGTGCATGGAAGTTTATGTGTGCAAGTTTGTGTGTGTGAAAGAGATGTGTGTGACGTGTGTGTGCGTGTGTGTGTGCGTGCGCGTGTGTGTGACAAAGTTGCGTATGGAAAAGAGTTGTGTTGAAGTTTGTGTGAAAGAGTTGTGAGTGAAAGAGTTGTGTGTGTGTGTGTGGAAGTTTGTGTCCAAGATTGTTCAAGTTTGTGTGAAAGAGTTGTGTGTGAAAGTGTTTTGTGTGAAAGAGTGGCGCACTTCCCCTGCGAAACCGACGTCGATGTGACCAAGTGCCACTCCGGCCGCACATGGTGAGCATAGTTATGAAATACAGTTGTTGCGTGTGTGACAAAGTTGTGCGTGAAGAGTTGTGTGTGAGAGAGTTGTGTGTGTGTGTGTGAAAGAGTTGTGTGTGAAAGAGTTGGTTGTGAGCGAAAGAGTTGTATAGGACAAAGTTGTGTGTGAAAGAGTTGTCTGGGACAGAATTGTGTGTGAAGAGTTGTGTGTGAGAAAGTTGTGTGTGAAAGAGTTGTGTGACAACGTTGTGTGTGAAAGAGTTGTGTGCGACAGAGTTGTGTGGGACAAGGGTGTGTGTGACAAAGTTGTGTGTGTAACATCTAAATAGATGTAAAACTTCTCACTTTTTCTTCCTTCTTTCCTCTCCCTTTTAATAGTGCAGGGGGTCACCGGGGTCCCGGGGGGGTCGAAGACACCCCCCCGGGACCCGGGTAAACGTACCTGCGAAATCTACTTTAGGTCTAATAGTCTAGGCTGGTTGCACGTTACAGGACTCAGTTCCTGACGGATCTCTTAAAAAGATCCACTCTTGTCTAGTGTGTGAAAGAGCTGTCTGTGAAAGAGTTGTGTGTGTGACAAACTTATGTGTGTGAAAGAGTTGTGGGTGACGCGGAGGAGGCGGCGGAGGGAAGCAGGCGGGAGTGCACAACAGAAAAGCAAGAACCCCACACAATGATGGGGGGAATTGCCTATCTTGAAACAAATCGTATAGAGTATGTGAAAAAATGTGTGGTAACATGCAATTATGCCCAATACAAGTACATTTCTGTACCGGCCAGATCGGACAATGTAAAAAACAGTCATTAGATACAGTCATACAGTATGTAACAGAATGTATTATATTCTATTGGATTACATGATGATCAAATATCTCTGGTCTTTAACGTAGCCAAGCTTCGGGCACAAACATCTCCTCAACCAACTCGGCATTCTTCTCACGCAAGGAGTCGTTACGTTCCTTCAGCTGCTGCATCACAACGAGGGCCTGGCGGTAGCCTTCCTGTGACACAGTGCCTGGGCCGTTGGTGAACCAACAATGGATCGATAGGTTGGATGCGGATGATGCGGATAATATGTGGGATATATTGAGATAGTTGTGCTGATGAACCAACATGGGGCTGCAAGATCTTGAAATTTTGCAAACAATCAAACCAAGACTTTCAGAAACATGGAGAAATAAACCTGGAGAAATTATCTTACAATAGGTTTGTCATCAGAAGTCTCAAGACTGCAAACAAACAAACACACACACACACACTGCAAGCAAACAAACAAACACACAGTGCAAACGGAGTTTGGGGAACAGTGTGAAACGAAGATCAATCGTGTACAATCTACATGCAGGAGGTGTTGGCTTGGTGCCACATGCGGCTCAATTCCTAGCTTCAAAATCATCCAAAATCCGTTAACCTATCTGGGTTGTCGGAAAATGCCCTGCCCAAAATCCACTGGTTGATCAACGTGTGCCACCATGGCCAATTTTGATGCATTCTCCATGGCCAATTTGGCCAGCAGCATCCACTTGCGCTGTGCCGCCAGGGTGCCGTCCCTCAGCTGCTGTTGCAGCTGCTCCGGCAGATCGGAGCCAGACTTGGCTCCCGAGTGGAAGGAGGAGGCCGTATCTGAGGTCACCTCGTTTTTGATCGAAATCTGCTAATTTGGGACTATTTCTCCCATCTTCTGAAAGTCATGATGTTCATCAGCCTGAATTTCTTAGAATCCTTTGAAGCGTACAAGAATATCATAAAGCCAAAGGGTGTCTCAGAAAATCACTCCTAACGTGTTATTGAAACAAAGCCTTGTCATGGATGTCATGGACCAGGGCAACACACCATCCCGTTCATCAAACCCAGGCACTTCATCTCCGGGTAGACCTTGATTTACTGTTTCGCCCACCTTCTGCACCAAATTGCCTGGTGCGTGCACCCGGGTGGATGGGCTATGAAGCTCGCTGCTAGCTACAGAATAGGCAGTAAGCATGGGCATCTAGCGTGGCTTGTGAGCGTTCTTTGCATCAATTTGCATCGTATTCTGTTCTCAAATCGCTTTGGGATCATGTTGAAGAATCTGTTGAAATCTGTTGAACCTTGGCAAAGCAAGGAAGATAGAGGATGATAGAGGAAGGTCTGCAGCCTTCAAAAACCTGCATGTCGCTATGCCAATTATCCGACTCAACTTCCGGAAAAAAAAGTCAGTTTCCATGACTAGTTCTCTGAAATCCCCAGAATTTCATGCATCTGTTTAATGCTGTTTTGCACCCAGTTACTGATGTTTTCCCGCAACTCCGGTGGGAACCGTCTCCGTGTCGACGATTCCAGGCCCGTCAGGCCCGTGGCCGCGATGCTGGGACGGTCCGTTTGGACCAACAGGCGGCGTTTCACCGCTTCCACGTCGGAGCGAAGGCTTGCGAAATCGTGGGACTCACGGCTCAGCTTGAGGGTGTCCTGGGATGGTGAAGATATGCATATAGATATGCATATAGATATGCTAAGATTATCTAAGATTGGCCATGGTGATAAGACGGAGCGGGATGGGCATGATGTAGCGCATACACATGAAATTGATGACCATGAATCGAGGAGACCCTGTCAAAACACATATCCATCTTTGGCTGGTTCTCGCTGGTTAGTAGGGTTTCAACTTAAGATTTATTTTGTATATCCACATCTAACCCAACAAGAACGGAAAGACTCCAACGCGGAACTGCAACTGCGAGGGCATGAGCGGAATATGAGCCGACAACTTGGGTCCGATGACACTAAACATCAGTGCTGATACCTTGAAGCAACAAACATTGGATAAATCACAACCACCTTTGAGACATTCAAACTGTGGACGATTGTGGATGTAGCATGACGTAGCAAAAAACACAATCATAAGATATCGAACCTTTGAACACGGGAATCTGGGGAGTCTTGAAGATTCTGCAAGCTTAGAACCGACAAATCAGCTGGAGGACAACACCTACTGTAGCTATACAAGATCCTGCTAATGTAAAACATGCAGAAGGGACCCGGAACAACCAAGGTTGTCTGGCAAGGGATTCCCTTATTATAGGTTTGAAACGGCTATCAAAATTCGTAGTTTCAACATTTTCCACATCTGAGTACGGGTCACAAGGGTGGCTGAGTATCCCCCGAATGAATCCCCAAACAATACGTGTGTTTTACTTCCCCGGCTATTGCGCACAGATTCTGCTTCCACAGAATCCAAACGTGCGAAGACTGACGCTGCATCAAAGTTGGTTTTGTGCATCTGCGACTCCAAACCATGAAAGCGTTTGTTCACTTCATTGCTCAGGGCCTTAATCCTGGGTGCAACAAAAAATGTGGAGTCTGTGCCAGGGTACACAACAACGGTGTGATTCATCGGAAAGCATTAGATCATGTGTAATGTTGACGTGAGAGGAAAAAACATTCCCAAACATTATAGGCATCAGAATAAAGTTCAAGCCAAAGAATGGCCTGGGGTCCCTGGAAATTTTGCCAGACCTATGTGGCGCCGAAAAAATGCCTAATTGAAAACAAATATATACATAAGTGGGGTTTCTTTATTATGTTAGTATGCCCAAATTAATTGCCCACTTGAAAACGAATACATACATGGACAGTCCTGTTCATTTGAATATTCCCAAATGAATTGCCTAATTCATGGGTTACTTGAATATTTTTTTTGTGTTCAAATGGGAAAGGAATTGAGACATGAATTGAGCCACCAACATTTAGGCCCTTGAGATCCCAATACTTTCTTGAGGGGGTGCAAGGTTAGGGGGCTTCAGGATTACCCCCTTTGCGCGATTGATTTTGACAATTGTTAAAGGGTTTAGTAAGGAAATTTGAATCCATTTGAGCCATCTTGAAATGTTTCAATTTCATAATTTGTTAGAAAAAAATCGAAGGTTCCAGCTTCCAGCTCAAAGGGGGTTCAAAAGGGTCTTGAGGTTTCCAGAAAGGGTTTGAGAAAGGGTTTCCCCAGAAATCCAATGGGAGCGCGTTTCAAAATGCTTTATTAGGGGGCCCCTCAAAATAAAGCATTTAATTCATGGGTTCGTTGGATATATTACATTATATTACCTGTCATTTGGTTGAAAATGGAAAAATATGAAAAAACATGAATTGAGCCACCAACATGTAGGCCCTTGAGATCCAAATACTTTATTTAGGGAGTGAAATCAATGATTACCAGTAACTCAGTAGTACCGCACAAGGCGGTGGCGGAAATTTCAAAAATAGGAAACCTATAGGAGAAGTTGGTTGTTGTGACTCACGGATGGCAGAGCGAATCCACTGATGAACCCAAAAGTGGTTGAAGTCTCCTCTCTTTCTCTCTCTTTCTTTTTTTTCTCCCTCTTTCTCTCTCTTTCTCTCTCTTTCTCTCTCTTTTTCTCTCTCTTTTTCTCTCTTTCTTTCCCTGACTATCTACCTACCTACCTACCTATCTAACTATCTATCTATCTATCTATCTATCTTGTCTGTCTGTCTCTCTATCTATCTATCTATCTGTCTGTCTATCTATCTATCTATCTAGCTAGCCAGCTAGCTATCTATCTATCTATCTATCTCATCTGTCTATCTAACTATGTATCTATCTATCTCCCCATCTACCTATCTACCTACCTACCTATCTATCTATCTATCTAGCTATATCTATCTCATCTGTCTATCTAAGTATGTATCTATCTATCTCCCCATCTACCTATCTACCTACCTATCTATCTATCTATCTATCTATCTTTTTAAAATTTTCGCGGAGAACATTTCTGTTGCAATCGAGTTTCTATTGCCATCAAAATCCTAATTTAACAATATAGATCGACATCGCTAGTTATTGGATTTCGCAATTGGCACCAGGTTTGCAACAATGTTCCCATAACTGCCGGAAGCAGAAATGTATATATATATATATATATATGTATGTATGTACGTACAGTATGACAGTATGACAGTATGACAGTATGTATGTATGTATGTATTGCTGATGTTTGATGTTGTGTATGTGCATGCTTTTGTGTTTGTAAGAGGTAGCTTCATGCACAGCCATCCAGTAAGCAACTTGTTGCTGGATATGAACACATAACTCTTTCAGGATGCTCTAGCTGTGTTTTCGCTCGACAAGGTACATATTCACATGAAGAAAAAGATCGTGGAAATTAACCAACGATATTTTTGCCCACTTCTACATACGCATTACAATTTCACCCACGCTTGAGAACTCCCACCGCGAAGCGATTCGATATCTGGCGATGCATGTTCAGATCAGAGATTTGCCAAGAATTCTTCTTGAACGCTTCTCCATAAACTGCCGATTCGCATGATTATGTTCGCACCGTTTCCGAAGTAGGTATAGATGCTTCTAGGAGGGGTGATGAGGAGTTGGAGATCAGAGGTTTGCAGAGTGACACAGCGACTTTTAGGTCATGCAACTGTCAGGCAAGAGATAGGTAGATAAGAGCATGGGTACAATCACACGCCTGCGAAACAATAATGTCAGAATAAATGTCAGGTATAATGCCAGAATAGAATGCCAAATAGCATGCCAGAAAGAATGCCAGAATGAATGCCAGACAGAATGGCAGAATAGAAAGTCAGAATAGATGCCAGAGAGGCCAGAAAGAATGTCAGAATAGATGCTAGATAGAATATCAGAATGCGTCAGAAAGAATGCCAGATAGAAGCCATCGTAAATGTCAGAATAGATGCCAGAAAGGATGCCAGATAGGATGTCAGAATAAATGTTAAATATAATGCCAGAAGAGAATGTCCGAATAGAATGTCAGACAGAATGCCAGAATAGAAGGTCAGAAAATATATGCCATTATATACTTCCAGATGAAATGGCAGAAACTATGAAAAATGTCACGGTGCAGATCACTCGAAGTAAAGTTTTTTTTTTGAAAATAAACAAATTTTGGTATCATTTTCAGACAAACCCAAAGTATGAAGCACCACTTCTACAGGTGCCTCGACACCTGTACTCCAGCTCTTGGCCAAGCATCACCATCTGCTCAACCTCTGAGCTTTGATTAAAGGAATGCTCCTTACCTTGGAGACATGGGACACTTCTTTTAGCTGGATGATACGCGGAACAACTTCGCTCACCCTGGAGGATTCCTGCAAGTCGATGAAGATTGGGTCAGTCACCAGCCATGCCAGTGAGTCATACCATTTTCCATTGAGAATCATCAATGCTTTGGTGCAACAGCACCAACGGTGGATGGCCAGTGGTAATGTCAACATAGGATTGATAAACTCACCAGTCCATTGAATTGATGGGTTCCAACTTCCAACAAATTAAATACTGCAAATGGAGCCAATAAATTCAATACAACACAACATAAACATCCAATTTTGCAAAATCCAATATAAAAATGGTATACCCCATGTGTTCTCACGCAATAATAGTTAAATCCCCCAAGACATTTTCTCAAACATCAAAAACTGGGGATACCCTATTTTCAAACAAACCCGTTTGGTGTTTATCTTGGCGATTTAACCAATTAAACAACAACACCAAAACAAACCAATAAACATCCGCATTTGTTGGTTCAATCCCATGATATTCCGATATTGGCTGGTGTTATATACCAAAATGTGTTGGATACATCATCAACAACTAAACATCCACTTTTTACATAGCTCATCAGAATCCAATAAACTAAAAATAAATCTACATATCAATCTCCCAAGTGTTTTCCCCCAATAAATGCATAACCTCCCCAAAAGAACCCAATCGATCCACATCCAAGTGACACGTTTGCAGTTCCCGCTGCAGATCTGCCAACGCCGCGTCCAGGACCTGTAACTTGGTGTCCAATGTGGCGCTCAGAGCGCCCTCGGGGCTCCGCGAGTCTTCAGAGTGGGCGCTCTCCACCACTGACCTGCAGGGGGAACCAGAAGGGGATGGGATGGGATGGGATCGGATGGGATGGGTGTGTGTGTGTGTGGGAAACCCTGAATCAAAGGGCGTAAGCAGGGGGGCAACACCCCATCTTCCTATGTTGCCCGACGAAGCTACGGAAGATGTGGTGGAAGGGTTCGTGGATGCATGAACCTGTACCTGCTCTCTGTATGGGATCCGGCTAACCCAAGAACCGGCTTGCCGTTTATCATGTCATGTCATGCATTTTCTAGGGTAGGTAACAAGGTCATGTTGCATACATGGTAGCCACATGTCACGATTCATTTCATCTCATCTCATTTCATCCTCTCCCTTCGGGGTGTATCCGTGTGTGTGTGTGTGTGTAAGCTGCTAGTTACATGCAGTTATGATGAACAATTTATATTATCAAGCAGGGGGTGCCAGGGGATTGAGTGAAGCTGGCACCAACGAAGACCTTCACTCTTTCCTGTGATATGAAAACGGGACGCCGTTTTCACGTACCTGCTAGATTCGTTGTGATCACCGGTTCTTCCTCGAGGCTGTTTCAGGTAAAACAAGGTCAGCTGATTGTCAAATTGCTTCTCAGGCTGCTCAATTTCAGGAATTTGCGAGGCGACATCAAAGTCATCCTTTTCTTCCTCCAAATTATTTCACCTGCTGTGTGTGTGTGTGTCTGTGCGTGTGTGTGTGTGTGTAACATCTAAATAGATGTAAAACTTCTCCTTTTTTCTTTTTCTTTCTTCTCTCCTTCTAATAAAGCAGGGGGACTGGAGCCGATTTGCCTATCCAGTCCAACGAAGCTATGGCATTTCGGTGGATGAGTGGTCTGATCAACCACTTGTACCTGCATCACGTAGCACGTTGATGGCAAGAGGCTCAGCCAAGGACCTCACCAAACACAATTTTTGACTCATGGATTTACATGGTCGCCGCAATCTGAATTTCATGACAACTTTTTTGACGTTTGTATTCTGGTTTGGTCTACGCTTGATATTTTCGGAAAACTTTTATCGTTCTCGCGAAGTACAACCACGAGAACTACTTTAGGTCTAATTGTCTAAGATGGTTGCATGTTACAGGACTCAGTTCCTGATGGATCTCGACAATCCAATTTTGTCTAGTGTAATACCTGTGGTGACTCCGACAAGGTGCCATAGGGCCACTGGAGGCAACCCTTTGTAGGTTGAATGTCGGCTGACCGGATTCCAGAATTGACAATTTTAATCTGGTAATTCGTTTACGTAAAGCGAAACAGTCGGCCTTTTGATTTCCAGCCTTTTTGCGGTGTCCCGCTGGTCCTGCCGTCCCATGGGATCCATTGGAAAGATCATCCCTTAAAGTCTGATGCGAATCTGAACTGCCAGAAACTCCATTTTTGCCACTGCAGCTTGAGTTTTCGAAGTTCAACATGACATGTGCGACAACAGGCAACAGGCATGTCCTTTTCCTGCAGGTGTGGTTTCTTTGGTTTCTGGTGAGGTTGAACATGTTGTGCATCTAATTCGATGGAACTTGAACAGCTGTTTATGCCATTGCGGTACGACTTGACTACGGTCCCGAAGGGGAGTAACGCACGACTTCTCATGTAGTTGGAACTGAGTCCTTTTTAGATAAATTGTTTTGGTTGATTCACGCCCGTCATTAACTAGCCCCCATTCAGTCCCTAATTCTTCCCCTGTGCTTCTCCGTAATGTGTCGTGGGGTTTAGGTGTGTGCTCTGTTTTTGTCAGGTCCGTTTCGCCGCGTAGGTTGGTTCTGGAGGTCCGTTCGTTCCCTTGCCCCCCCTGCGCCGACCTGCGCTGTTCTGGCCTTTTGTCCATCGTCTGTGTCCGCTTTTTCCTTTTTCTTGCCTTTCAGGGTTGACCCGGCCCCGGCCGGATGTGTGTGTGTGTAATCTAAATAGATGTAAAACTTCTCCTTTTTTCTTTTTCTTTCTTCTCTCCTTCTAATAAAGCAGGGGGACTGGAGCCGATTTGCCTATCCAGTCCAACGAAGCTATGGCATTTCGGTGGATGAGTGGTCTGATCAACCACTTGTACCTGCATCATGTAGCACGTTGATGGCAAGAGGCTAAGCCAAGGACCTCACCAAACACAATTTTTGATTCATGGATTTACATGGTCGCCGCAATCTGAATTTCATGACAACTTTTTTGACGTTTGTCTTCTGGTTTGGTCTACGTTTGATATTTTCGGAAAACCTTCATCGCTCTCGCGAAGTACAACCACGAGAACTACTTTAGGTCTAATTGTCTAAGCTGGTTGCATGTTACAGGACTCAGTTCCTGATGGATCTCGACAATCCAATTTTGTCTAGTGTGTGTGCAAAACATCTGGTTAGACAAATCCACCTGGACATGATTTTTTCCCAGGAAACAGGTGGTGTAACATAAGTCTCTTTGAATGTCTCAGGTCTTGTTGGTCATTGTGCAGTGGTACCAGGTGAGGTCACCCTGTGTTTCACAGCATTAAGCTGGTGTGAGACCATCTGGCTCCAACAAGTTTGAGCATGGTTCTTGAGCAACATTCCTTTTTCTGTCTTGTCCAAACGTCTAGATTAGTCTGGGATGCCAGGGGGTGTGAGGATGTCAGGATGTCTTAAATCGCTGTGTCTCTGGGTCTCTGTCTCTTTCTCCCTCTCTCCCTCTCCCTCCCTCCCTCCCTCTCTCTCTCTCTCTTTCTCTCTCTCTCTCTCTTCTTCTCAAGATCACTGCAAACCTATGTATCACGTATCATAAGGTCAGAATCTACCCCTTGATTTGCAAATGGGACTCTATCCCAATGAGATCTGCCCTAAGCTGACTAATTGCAAGCTCTTAAAACCACTTGTGGGCTGGAATTAGAATTAGCCTCGTACCATTGGGGAGCCCATAACGCAGGGTCAGCGAAATATACAGTACCATGTCAAGATCACCTACGCAGGAAACATCTACAACCTGCCAACATTCTTCCCGAAATGGCTGCCATATATAAATTAAAGGGAATGTGCAGTGGCAATTTAATGCTGTTTAAACGCTCAAGGCATTGGTACAAACAGGATCAAATACATATTCCCTGAAACCAACATCAATCCTGTCAAATACAAGTTTGGAAGACTAACAACTATACTTTACAACATAAACATTGGCTAATCCAAAGGTCGTCGAACTGTTAATTGAGAGTATGTATGGCCATCATCAGTTTTGTGATTTTCTGTGCTAAGGCACGAGGAAAAAATACGCTGTTCACGCTACATTAAATTCTCAGGAGTCATGTTAAACCCTCCCTGGACAAGTGCACATGTGGCACCTCCAAACAAAATTCAAACACTGTCGGCAATGTGAAACAAGGGAAAAGCAAACAATAGCACCCAAAAAATATGTATTACATGGTTTTATACAGTTATGCATCGTTAGTTTTATGAGCATAACTAACTGTACTAACCAATTATCTTCCCCATATCCCTATTATCTCCATCACCCATCATATCCTTAGTAGATCCCCCAGCTGAGGGCTGACCTCAAGTCTTGTCGCGTTGCCAGCTGGTCTCTTAGCTCCACCTGACACGACTTTTGAGCCATATACATTCATGTGTAGAACTGTATCACTGTATCTAACATAGCTATAGTTCAACTCTACCAATTCCAAGTCAGATGTGCGGATTAATCACCCCCTGTTATTAATCAACCTCCTCCTCCTCCCATTTTTTTGCAATTTAAAAACCGGTGGTCCCACAGGATTAATAAACCGTTTGGCTAGGAAATGATTAATCAACTCCCTGTGCTGAAATCATTTTTTTTATCCAACAATGTTTATTTCCAAATCTATTTATTTCCAATCGTTTTTTTTTAACCTTTTTCTTTATCATCATTGTTTTACTTTTAAGTTGATCATTGAAAATTTCAAAAAACAACTATTCCCCAAATGATCGATTTCTAATTAAATTCTTTATAAAAATAATCAGTTTGGATAGCTCCCAAAGCGTACCCCCCATGAGCCCATGTCCCCCATTAGTAATAATCAGGGTTTGCCCCTGATTAATCAACCACCATGTCCCTAATGTTTTTTCTTTGGATTTACCTATTCATTCCCAATGTCCCCCATAGCTTTCAGCCAATTGACGTAAGCCATATCCGAATTTGTAGGGTTGAGAGGCCGTTGATTAAGGGGTGCTTAAGGGGGGGACCTACAAGGTAGAGTTCTGACCTTCTGGGGGGGTTATTAATCCGGTGTTGGCATTATGACTATTTATGATAGTATATAGTTTTGTTCTTATGTTCTGTAACGATTGTAACGTTCTGCATATCTATCTATTTCGAGCACCTTGACATTTTCCTTGCAGCAGACGTCGCACCTGGGATCGCACCATCTCCACGATCTCGGCGTTCTTATGATCCACCTGGCGCCCTAAGTCCAAGAGCTGCGCATAGCGGGCGTTCTTCTCTGATTCCACCAGCTCAGCGAGGCGATCCTCCGTGAACCTCTGGCGATGTGGGGAAAAATGGTGGGAAAATGAACGGATATATGGAAGAAGTATAGCAACATCTAAGATGGTGTAAAATATATATATAGAGAGAGAGAGAGTTAATCGAAGATCTGAAAACATGTACAAACAATCTGGTTGGACAAATCCACCTGGACCTGATTTTTGTTCAGGAAACAGGTGGTGTAACATAAGTCCCTTTGTCTCAGGTCTTGTTGGTCATTGTGCAGTGGTACCAGGTGAGGTCACCCTGTGTTTCACAGCATTAAGCTGGTGTGAGACCATCTGGCTCCAACAAGTTTGAGCATGGATAGTGAACAACATTCCTTTTTCTGTCTTGTCCAAACGTCTAGATTAGTCTGGGATGTCAGGGGGTGTGAGAGGATGTCAGGATGTCTTAAATCGCTGTGTCTCTGTCTCTGTCTCTTTCTCCCCCTCCCTCCCTCCCTCCCTCCCTCGCTCTCTCTCTCTCTCTCTCTGTGTTCCTCTCAAGATCACCGCAAACCTACGTATCACGTATCATAAGGTCAGAATCTACCCCTTGATTTGCAAATGGGACTCTATCCCAATGAAATCTGCCCTAAGCTGACTAATTGCAAGCTCTTAAAACCACTTGTGGGCTGGAATTACATTACCATGTCAAGATCACCTACGCAGGAAACATCTACAACCTGCCAACATTCTTCCCGAAATGGCTGCCATATATAAATTAAAGGGAATGTGCAGTGGCAATTTAATGCTGTTTAAACTCTCAAGGCGTTGGTACAAACAGGATCAAATACATATTCCCTGAAACCAACATCAATCCTGTCAAATACAAGTTTGGAAGACTAACAACTATACTTTACAACATAAACATTGGCTAATCCAAGGGTCGAACTGTTAATTGAGAGTATGTATGGCCATCATCAGCTTTGTGATTTTCTGCTGCCAAGGCACGAGGAAAGAAATATGCTGCTCACGCTACATTAAATTCTTAAGAGTCATGTTAAACCCGCCCTGAACAAGTGCACATGTGGCACCTCCAAAATTCAAACACTGTCGGCAATGTGAAACAAGGGAAAAGCAAACAAGAGCACCCAAAAAATATGTATTACATGGTTTGTTAAATAAATAAATAATATATATATATATTTATATTTGTATCAGTAAATATACTAACTACCTTCCCCATATCCCTATTATCCCCATCACCCACTATATCCTTAGTAGATCCCCAGCCGAGGGCTGACCTCAAGTCTTGTCGCGTTGCCAGCTGGTCTCTTAGCTCCACCTGACACGACGTTTGTGCCATATACATTCATGTGTAGAACTGTATCAATGTGCCTGACATAGCTATAGTTCAGCTCTACCAATTCAATTCAACTGTGATATTACATATTCGTATTTGCATGTATAATCGTAAATAGTTCCCCACAAGTCAGATGAGGGTTGTTAGATTTTATGTCAGCTGGCCGCTGGCCTCCTCCTTGTGCTTCTCCGCCTCCTCCGCCTCCTCCACCGGACCTCAGCTGCAAGCTCGTGATCGCAGTGGTCCCCGCCGGACCCGAACAGCAAACCCCGGATCAGACTGGTCCCTGCCGGACCTCAACTGCAAGTGCGAGATCGCAGTGGTCCCTGCCGGCCCGAACAGCAAACCCAGGATCAGAGTGGTCCCTGCCGGACCTCAACTGCAAGCGCTAGATCGCAGTGGTCCCTGCCGGACCCGAACAGCAAGCCCCGGATCAGAGTGGCCCCTGCCGGACCTCAACTGCAAGCGCTACATCGCAGCGGTCCCCGATCAGAGTGGTCACCGGACTTCAACTGCAAGCGCTAGATCGCAGTGCCCCGCCGGACCCGAACAGCAACCGCTGGATGAAAGTGATTTGAGCCGGACCTCGACCACAAAGAATCTCCGAAGATATTATATATATATATATATAAAAATATATATATATACCAGAAAGAATGCCAGAAAGAATGTCAGAATATGCCACATACATATGCCAGAAAGAATGTTAGAATATATGACAGATTCAAATGCCAGAAAGAATGTCAGAAGATACGCCAGATACATATGCCAGAAAAATGTCAAAAGATATGCCAGATACATATGCCAGAAAAAAAATCAAAAGATATGCCAGGTACATATGCCAGAAAGAATGTCAGATGATATGCCAGATAATATGCCTTTGGTCTCTAGGTTGCAAAAGAGTTGTCATCTCCCCATCTTCCCTGCTAGAAAGTCTTGCCAAACAATGCCAGAATATATGCCAGATAAAATGCATAAAGAATGTCAGAATATATGTCAAACAAACTGCTTTGGTGGGAATCATTCGAAGTAAGGGTAAACATTTTTTCTGTACCGTTCTGTATATCTATTTCGAGCACCTTGACGTTTTCCTTGCAGCAGAAGTCGCACCTGGGATCGCACCATATCCGAGATCTCGGCGTTCTTCTGATCCACCTGGCGCCCTAGGTCCAAGAGCTGCGCAGAGCGGGCGTTCTTCTCCGATTCCACCAGCTCAGCGAGGCGATCCTCCGTGAACCTCTGGCGATGTGGGGAAAAATGGTGGGAAAATGAACGGATATATGGAAGAAGTAAAGCAGCAGCAACATCTAGGATGGTCAACTCATGTTATCACTTATTTTCGCACTTTTTGATGGTTGGCAATAATATATATATATATATATATATGTAGTAAGTTGAAGATCTGAACGCATGTGCAAAACATCGGGTTGGACAAATCCACCTGGACCTGTTTTTTCCCGGAAGCCGGTTGCTGTAACATAAGTCTCTTTGAATGTCTCAGGTTTTGTTGGTCATTCTGCACTGGTACCGGGTGAGGTCATCCTGAATTTCACAGCATTAATTAAGGTGGTGTGAGACCAACTGGCTCCAACAAGTTTGAGCATGGATAGTCAGCAACATTCCTTTTCTGTCTTGTCAAACGTCTAGATCAATCAGGGATGTCAGGGGGTGTGAGGATTTCAGGATGTCTTAAATCACTGTCTGCGTCTCTTTCTCCCTCTCCCTCCCTCCCTCTCTCTCTCTCTCTTTCTTTCTTTCGCCCAAGATCACTGCAAACCTACGTATCATAAGGTCAGAATCCACCCTTTGATTTGCAAATGGTGGTCTATCCCAATGCAATCTGCCCTAAAAGCTGACTTTTTGCAAGCTCTTAAGGCTCTTAAACACACTTGTGGGCTGGAATTGGTCTCCTCGTACCATTCGGGGGCCCGTAACATAGGGTCAGCGAAGTATACCATGTCAAGATCGCCCGTGCAGGGAACATCAACCTGCCAACATTTTTCCCGAAATGGCTACAGTACACCAGTAGTACCGCACAAGGCGGTGGCGGAAGTCTCAAAGATAGGAAACCTATAGGAGCGGTTGGTTGTTGTGAATCATGGATGGCAGAGCGAATGCGCTGATGGACCGAAAGGTGGTTGGAGTTGTGTTTTTGGAGTGGTCACCTCAGTGGTGTCGCGCAGTTGTAGTTGTAATTGTAGTGTAGTGGAGTTGTAGTTGCAGTGTAGTGTAAGTAGTGAAGTGTAGTAGTAGTTGCAGTTATAGCTCTGGTGTGGTGTAATTTGTGTAGTGTAATGTAGTGTAGTGTACTGTAGTGTTGTGTACTGCGGTGTAGTATAGTGTAGTGTAGTCTAGTGTAATGTAGTGTTGTGTAATGTAGTGTAGTAGTTGCTGTAGTGGCAGAGTTGTAGCTGTAGTCCAGTTGAATTAGCGTAGTGTAGTGTAATGTAGTGTAGTGTAGTTGTAGTTGCAGCTGTAGTTGTAGTGTAGTGTAGTTGTAGTTGTATTTGTAGTTGTAGTGTACTTAGCGTAGTGTAGTTGTAGGTGTAGCTGCAATTGTAGCTGTAATTGTAGCGTATTGTAGCTGTAATTGTAGTGTAGTGTAGTGGAGCTGTAGCTGCAGTGTAGTGTAAGTAGTGTAGTATGGTTGCATTTGCAGTTGCAGTTGTAGTTGTGGTGCGGTGTATTTAATTGGTGTAGTGTATGTAGTGTAATGTAACGTAGTGTTGTGTACTGTAGTGTGGTATAGTGCAGTGTAGTCTAGTGCAGTGTAGCGTAGTGTAGTATAAGTAGTGTAGTAGTTGTAGCTGTAGTTGTAGTTGTAGCTGTAGGTGTGGTGTATTCCAATTAGTGTAGCGTAGTGGAATGCAATGTAGCGTAATTGTACTTACAACTATAGTTATACCAAAACGTAAAAAGATTAATGTAATATGGCTACTGTAGTGTAATGTTGTGTTGTGTAATGTAGAGTAGTTGTCGTTGTAGTTGCTGTAGCGCAGCTGTAGTTGTAGTGTAGTGTAGTTGTAGTTGCAGTTGTATTTGTAATTGTAGTTGTAGTGGTTGTTGTAGTTGTCGTTGTCTGTCTATCTATCTGTCTATCTTTCTAGCTATCTAGCTATCTAGCTATTTAGCTATCTATCTATCTATCTATCTTTCTTTCTGCAAGCTTGAAAACGAAGCAATTCTGCGAGACCTCCTCAATTTTCGAAATTGGCAACGTCAAAAACGAAGCAATTCTGCGAGCTTCCTCAATTTTCGAACTTGGCATCGTCAAAAACGAAGCAATTCTGCGAGCTTCCTCAATTTTCGAAGTTGACAACATCAAAAACGAAGCAATTCTGCGAGACTTCCTTCAAAAATGGAAAGTTGAGTGCAGAGCTGACGGCCTCGTACCAATGCATTTTGCGATTTCTCTACTCCATCTGTCTAAAGTACTGCGCCTGCCACGGAAAAGTCAAGCCAGGTCATACGAGGTGCTGCACCTGTCACGCAAAATCATCTTGGAAAAACCTAACGGTCTGATGCACCAAAATGCAACCCCTCTCAGGAAATCAGCGCCCAGACCTCCTAACATGTCTGATGAACATGTCTCTCTTGTATCGCGCCTGCCACGCGAAATGCATCTTTGCAGATCCTCTTCAAATGTCCCACGCCTGCTAATGTCTTTGAAACTGCTACAAAACATTACAAACCCTCCCGTTTTGCTCACTTTTCGGAAGGTGCGGAATCCTTTGCGCCTGCCACGCGCAACGACATCTGACGTCCAAAAGTGGTCCGAGCATGTAGCGTTTTTTTCACATTTTGACTTCGAAATGTCCTTCGCGCCACAACACCGTGCACTTTTTCATCATATCAATTCCTAAAAGTGCTGACGCTGTTTTTTTTTAACACTTTTGACTTCCAAATGCGCATCGCACCACTACGGCGTGCACTTTTTCATCATCTCAACTTCCGAAAGTGCTCCGGCGTCGGTGTGCTTTGTGCATTTTGACTTGCAAATGTGCTTCGCGCCACAACGGCGTGCAACTTTTCATCTCTCATCTGGCCAGCTGGTCCGCACCGGCCGCTTTAGCGAGCCTACTTTTCGACCCTCCAGAGCCACAAATCATTGAAAAAACAGTGTTTCGCGACTTTTCTACGTTTTCGCGCACCTGCATCTTCTTTCTTCTGACTCTTTCCCTTCTCTGATCTTCTTTCTTCTTCTCCTCTCTTCTCTTCCCTGATTCTTCCCACCTCTGCTTTTTCATCTGTCCATATTGTCGGAAGTTTGACTTCTAAACTTCCTTCGATTAATTCAAGGGAATGTTCAGTGGCAATTTAATGCTGTTTAAACTCCCAAGGCATTGGCACAAATAGGATCAAATACATATTCCCTGAAACCAACTTCAACCCTGTCAAATACAAGTTCGGAGGACTAAGGACTATACTTTACAACATCAACATTGGCTAATCCAAGGGTCGAACTGTTAATTGAGAGTATGGCCATCATCAGTGTTGCCATTTTCTGCTGCCAAGGCATGAGGAAAGAAATACTGTGTTCACGCCGCATTAAATTCTCAGGAGTCGTGTTAAACCCTACCTGGACAAGTGCCCATTTGGCACCCCCAGATAAAATTCAAACACTATCGGGAAAAGCAAACAATGAGAGCACCCAAAAAAAACAACATATTACATGGTTAGTGATGTGTGTGTGTATTCGTGAATGTACTAACTACCATCCCCATATCCCTATTATCCCCATCACCCATCATATCCTTAGTAGATGCCCAGCTGAGGGCTGGCCTCAAGTCTTCTCGCGTTGCCAGCTGGTCTCTTAGCTCCACCTGACGCGACATTTGTGCCATATACATTCATGTGTAGAACTGTATCACTGTATCTGACATACAGTAGCTAGTTTAACTCTACCAATTCCAATTCAGATGTGTTATTAGATATTCATATATTTAAATATGTCTGTTTATGATTATTGATGATAGTATATAGCTTTTTCCCTGCCAGGTGAGGGTTGTTAGATTTTATCAGAGTTGTTCTCCTCCTCCTCCTCTTCCTTGGCTAGCTGTCCTCCTCCTCCTCGTCCTCCTCCTCATCCTCCTCCTCTAGTTTCTCCTCGACCATGTCTGCATCAACTTCCACCTCCACTTCCGCCTTGCCAACTCTTCGCCAAGCTCTTTGCCAACTTCCCAGCTCAGTGTGCACTGGGACCTCAACCTGGGACCCCAGCTCAGTGTGCACCGCTGGACCTCAACCTGGGACCTGCCCAGCTCTGTGTGCACCGCTGGACCTCAACTGGGGACCTTCCCAGCTCAGTGTGCACCGCTGGACCTCAACCTGGGACCTGCCCAGCTCAGTGTGCACCGCTGGACCTCAACGGCCAGATAGAATGCCAGAAGATATGCCAGATAGAATGTCAGAAGATATACCAGATAGAATGCCAGAAGATATGCCAGATAGAATGCCAGAAGGTGGGCCAGATAGAATGCCAGAAGATATGCCAGATAAAATGCCATGAGATATGGCAGATAGAATGCCAGAAGATATGCCAGATAGAATGCCAGAAGATATACCAGATAGAATGCCAGAAGATATGCCAGATAGAATGCCAGAAGGTGGGCCAGATAGAATGCCAGATAAAATGTCAGATAGAATGCCAGAAGATATACCAGATAGAATGCCAGAAGCTATGCCAGATAGAATGCCAGAAAATATGTCAGAATATATGCCAGAAGAAATGTCAGATAGAATGCCAGAAGATATGTCAGATAGAATGCCAGAAGATATGCCAGATAGAATGCCAGAAGATATGCCAGATAGAATGCCAGAAGATATGCCAGATAGAATGCCAGAAGATATGCCAGATAGAATGCCAGAAGGTGGGCCAGAAGATATGCCAGATATGCCAGATATGCCAGAAGATATGCCAGATAGAATGCCAGATAGAATGCCAGATAGAATGCCAGAAGATATGTCAGAATATATGCCAGAAGATATGCCAGATAGAATGCCAGATAGAATGCCAGAAGATATGGCAGATAGAATGCCAGAAGGTATGCCAGAAAGAATGCCAGAAGATAGCCAGAGAGAATGTCAGAAGCTATGCCGACTAGAATGCCAGAAGATATACCAGATAGAATGCCAGAAGATATGCCAGATAGAATGCCAGAAAATATGTCAGAATATATGCCAGAAGAAATGTCAGATAGAATGCCAGAAGATATACCAGACAGAATGTCAGAAGATATGCCAGATAGAATGTCAGAAGCTATGCCAGATAGAATGCCAGAAGGTGGGCCAGATAGAATGCCAGATAAAATGTCAGATAGAATGCCACAAGATATGCCAGATAGAATGCCAGAAGATATACCAGATAGAATGCCAGAAGATATGCCAGATAGAATGCCAGAAAATATGTCAGAATATATGCCAGAAGAAATGTCAGATAGAATGCCAGAAGATATGCCAGATAGAATGTCAGAAGATATGCCAGATAGAATGTCAGAAGCTATGCCAGATAGAATGCCAGAAGATATGCCAGATAGAATGCCAGAAAATATGTCAGAATATATGCCAGAAGAAATGTCAGATAGAATGTCAGAAGATATGCCAGATAGAATGTCAGAAGCTATGCCAGATAGAATGCCAGAAGATTTGCCAGATAGAATGCCAGAAGATATACCAGATAGAATGCCAGAAGATATGCCAGATAGAATAACAGAAAATAATTCAGAATATATGCCAGAAGAAATGTCAGATAGAATGTCAGAAGATATGTCAGATAGAATGTCAGAAGCTATGCTTGATAGAATGCCAGAAGCTATGCCAGATAGAATGCCAGAAGATATACCAGATAGAATGCCAGAAGATATGCCAGATAGAATGCCAGAAAATATGTCAGAATATAGCCAGAAGAATGTCAGATAGAATGTCAGAAGATATGAAGATAGAATGTCAGAAGCTATGCCAGATAGAATGCCAGAAGATATACCAGATAGACAGATAGAATGCCAGAAGATATGCCAGATAGAATGCCAGATAGAATGCCAGAAGATATTGCCAGAAATATGCCAGATGCCAGATAGATGCCAGAAGATTGTCAGATAGAATGCCAGAAGATATGCCAGATAGAATGCATCAGATTTGCCAGATAGAATGCCAGAAGATATGCCAGAAGAAATAGATAGAATGCCAGAAGATATGCCAGATAGAATGCCAGAAGATTTGCCAGATAGAATGCCAGAAGATATACCAGATAGAATGCCAGAAGATATGCCCAGATAGAATGCCAGAAATTTTGCCAGAATATATATGCCAGAAGATATATGCCAGAAGATATGCAGATAGAGATGTCAGATAGATGTCAGAAGATATGCCAGATAGAATGTCAGAAGAATGCCAGAAGATATACAGTAGAGGACAGAAGATATGCCAGAAGATATGTCAGAAATATAATCCAGATAGAATGCCAGAAGAAATGTCAGAATATATGCCAGAAGATATGCCAGATAGAATGCCAGATAATATGCCAGAAGATATGCCAGATAGAATGCCAGATAGAATGCCAGAAGATTTGCCAGATAGAATGCCAGAAAATATGCCAGAAGATATGCCAGATAGATATGCCAGAAGATATGCCAGATAGAATGCCAGAAGATAGAAGATTGCACAGATAGAATGCCAGATAGAATGCCAGAAAATATGTCAGAATATATGCCAGAAGAAATGTCAGATAGAATGTCAGAAGATATGCCAGATAGAATGTCAGAAGCTATGCCAGATAGAATGCCAGAAGATATACCAGATAGAATGCCAGAAGATATGCCAGATAGAATGCCAGAAAATATGTCAGAATATATGCCAGAAGAAATGTCAGATAGAATGCCAGAAGATATGTCAGATAGAATGTCAGAAGATATGCCAGATAGAATGTCAGAAGCTATGCCAGATAGAATGCCAGAAGATATACCAGATAGAATGCCAGAAGATATGCCAGATAGAATGCCAGAAAATATGTCAGAATATATGCCAGAAGAAATGTCAGATAGAATGTCAGAAGCTATGCCGGATAGAATGCCAGAAGATATACCAGATAGAATGCCAGAAGATATGCCAGATAGAATGCCAGAAGAAATGTCAGATAGAATGTCAGAAGATATGCCAGATAGAATGTCAGAAGCTATGCCAGATAGAATGCCAGAAGATATACCAGATAGAATGCCAGAAGATATGCCAGATAGAATGCCAGAAAATATGTCAGAATATATGTCAGAAGATATGCCAGATAGAATGTCAGAAGCTATGCCAGATAGAATGCCAGAAGATATACCAGATAGAATGCCAGAAGATATGCCAGAAAATATGTCAGAATATATGCCAGAAGAAATGTCAGATAGAATGTCAGAAGCTATGCCAGATAGAATGCCAGAAGATTTGCCAGTAAGAAAATATATAAATGTCATGGTGGGGATCACACGAAGTAAAGTAATTTTATGTTCTGTAACGATTGTAAACTGCTTTGGTGGGAATCATTCGAAGTAAGGGTAAGCATTTTTTCTGTACCGTTCTGTAAATCTATTTCGAGCACCTTGACGTTTTCCTTGCAGCAGAAGTCGCACCTGGGATCGCACCATATCCGAGATCTCGGCGTTCTTATGATCCACCTGGCGCCCTAGGTCCAAGAGCTGCGCAGAGCGGGCGTTCTTCTCCGATTCCACCAGCTCAGCGAGGCGATCCTCCGTGAACCTCTGGCGATGTGGGGAAAAATGGTGGGAAAATGAACGGATATATGGAAGAAGTAAAGCAGCAGCAACATCTAGGATGGTCAACTCATGTTATCACTTATTTTCGCACTTTTTGATGGTTGGCAATAATATATATATATATAATATATATATATATATAATAACTATACATATACCTGGGCCTTCCAACTCCTAAAAAAAACAGTCGTTTTGCACAATCAGGCGTTTCATCAAATTTATGGTCGTATCGAGCGTTTCCCCAAAAAGTTCGGCGTGGTATGTCATGGCTGTGTTTCCCATCGGCATGGCCCTCCTCCACCAGTTTTTTGCTTTCAATCTGCACATCCAAGTTGGTTTCTGTTTAATTGCGCGCTCCCAAAATTATACAATTTTACCAGATTCTTGGATTTGTAGGCGTTTGCGGGTTTTTGCGGGCGTTTTGCGGATTTTTGCGGGCGTTTTGCGGGTAATTTTGGGCGCAGTTATGTGCATTTATATGCGTTGGTGCTCGGGATATGAGAATGGCCTGGTATGTCCCTGGGACGCAGCCAGGATGCAAGCCATGTTCAGTCATATTCAAAATGTCACTTGTGGTGATAGTGTGGCCACTAGGAAGCAAAACCAGGCAAACTAGTAAAATTAGACGAGATTCTGAAAACTGGGTCATTTTAGGTCATATTCCAAAACTACCAAAAATAATTGATCGAAGGAATGTTCAGGTACATGGTAAGTTGAAGATCTGATAGGTAAATTATGTGATGTTGAAGCATCTGATTCATCCGATTCATCACCCCTCCCAGAGCTGTGCCTCAAATCCGCCTGCATCCTCTCGGTTACTTGGTCGATCGTTTTGGTGAAGGATAATTGAAGCTCTTGAAGCTTCTGTTCGCAATAGTCCTCAGCTTTCTGGCCCAACACCCCCAAAAATACACAGAGGATATGGAAGAAATGACATGAATGTATGTATGTTTGCCGGCCTCCACTACCCTTCGTGTTTCAAAATGTTATATATAAGAAAAAAACGCTTGGAAATGCTTGGAGAGCTTGACCCCAGACCCGAAGCACATCCAAACGTCACTTGAACAAAAATACGTTTCGAACATGTTAAATATGTTATACACAAGTGTTATAAGGAGGTTTCCGCCTAAAATGGTGGTACCCCCAGATCATCTAAATTAGATTAGACCATGACTAAGAACCCTCCAATAAAACTGTGGTTTTTCAGTTAAGCAATGCGTCTGACCACCAGAGTCGTTCAGCTCCGACTTCATCCTCAGCCCTACGACTGGGCGATGGCCGTGATGGGACCACTGGGGTCGATGAGGCCGCCTTCAACACCGCTGGGCCTTCGCCGTAGCCGCGGCCGCTGGAGAGGGCCGGGCGGCCATCCGAACGCATGGCGGACAGCGATGGCGGACTGGAAATGGTTCTTGTACCAATAAGTTTCAAGTGGATTCGTAACTGGACATGCAGTGACTGTTGATGAATAGTAGGCCATGTGTTCACCTCGTGTTTGTGCCTGTTGCACTGACTCTCATCCGAGCCAAATACGACGAAGGATTTGTATGGATTTGTTGCTTCATGTCCCATTCCAACGATCCTAAAGTTCAAAGTGCCGTCAATTTTTGCCCAGGTCCAAGCGGCATGGCAATACTTGCCAGAAGGCAAACGCTGGACATGCTTCTCGACCAGCAGGTCGCCAGCAGTTTGGTACCCAAAGCTACCTGCAAACCAAGCGGAGAAAGTCAAGTCGATCAATCAACCAGGGATTATATAATCAAATCTGACTGGCGGACTTAATTGTGAAAAAAATGGTGCAGTGGTATCCCTACTGATAGAACATGATAGAAAACAACCCCAGAAACCGTCTCATTGAGGGGTGACATCGCTGTCCGGATGCTGCACCTGGTCGGAAATGGCCTTGAATTCCTTGGCTCACTGTGTCCAGGGCCGCCACGCAAATGCCACAACGCTCCGGGTAGCCACCTTGAGGCTTGCTGAGGCGATCATTGAGGCGATCATTTAGGCCAATGGAACACATTGGAAAACCACAATCTTATACTGTAGATAGGTATGTCCATTATAGTTTGTCATCATAGTAGTGGATTTTCATTGATACTTGTTGCCCAAAAGGTATCTGAAAACACCTGAAAGGTTGGTTAACATTGTAGATCAACACTCTGTGGAGATCTCCCTTTGGTGTGGGCCAGGTTCATCTGTCTATCCGAAGAGACTAACCTGGAAACTGTTTTTTGTTTGTCTCTTTTTGAAGCCAAAACAGATTTCCATCGCAGACACTTATCATGTATTTGATGGTTCCCCTTCATGTTCCTTCTAACGTTCTATATCCTTCTATCATCCCGGGCCCAAACCTCTGGTAAGTTAACAGTTTGCCATGGACAATGACCAGCGATCTACATAGATCTAAGGCATCACCATCCTCTTCGCGCCTAGGCGTGACATCGCTCGAAGTAAGCGGTCTCTGACGACTGAATCCATCTTTGCCTGGCGCAGTTTCCCTTGGGATCTCTTGGGATCATAGGTCAAGGCAAATAGATAAACTATGATGAAAATTGATGAAATGTGATAAGATCATCTTGCTGCAATGGTTCCAAGTACGATTTCGAAGTATACCTGCAGATCTACTCATTACTTGATACTATTTTCAACTGCTCGGCGGTTTCTCACGCTCTGAAATTGGACTTTCATCCTCAAATCATCATCCCAACTTTTTGGGATACCAATAAATCAACGTATAACGCTGGTTGGTGGTATACCTACCCCTCTGAAAAATATGAAAGTCAGTTGGGATGATGACATTGCCAATATATGGAAAAGTAAAAGCCATGTTCCAAACCACCAATCAGATTATAATATAAATCATTCTAAATCTATAACACCCAGATACACCAAGGTGAACCGCAAACATCAGATGCCGACCTCCTGCTCTGCGGTAGCTTGCCGTGCAAACGAGGCGCCCCGCGCCAGCAGGATGAAGCTGGTGGACCTCGAAACATGTTTTTTTCAAACATTGCTAGCGGCTAGCTGGGAAGTCCCCTATTATTTCTATGTCCCTATGATTTTCCTATGATTGCCATATTATGTCCCTATATTTTCCCTATTATTTATGTCCTTATCGTGTTCCTATTATGTCGATCCCTATAGTTTCACTATTAGCACCCTATTTTTTCATAATATGGCCCCATTGTTTCCCTAGTATTTCCTTATTTTTCCCTATAATTTCCCTACATGGTTCATAACACAATCTATCCATTTCACCCATGACTTTTCTTTGCCTGAGACGTAGATGTTTACTTGTAACGATGTATACTGGGCATGTACCCCAAATAATCTTCGGGGGGCACCCCCAGAAACACATCACGCAATGCCTTGATGCTGGCAAAATTTCTGTGGGTATATCTTGGAAAAAACAAACTAAAAGCAAGAGTATATCAAGGCCTGAGCGTCCCACACATCATAGAAGTTGTGACTTTGCTTGACTCCTGCGACACATGGGGGTTGCCTCCCTGGACCATGGAGATGGGTGGAACCCCAACTGGCAACGACAACTGAAGGAGTTCGAGATCTCATCGCACCCAGCAGAACAACCTGCTTTTTTGCTGGGCATGATGAGATTCCCCATCTTTGTGGTGTAAACCACTTCCTATACCTGACCCAACCAAGGTTTGCACCAGTGACGTAGAGACTGCATGCGGGCTCCTTCCCTCTCCCATTGTGAGAGTCGCAAATACAGCTGCGCCAATGCCTCAGTATATACGTCAACTGAATCAACTGATAGATGCGAAGACTAATTTGTTCCTATCCATTCGACATTGGGCATTTCCAATTTCTACGCGTTGAAATCTGTAAAGCGTGACATGGATCAAAGACGCTTCCTGCAGCAGCTGAGTTCCAGCATCAAGCCATATCAAGCTCAGTGTACCAGTGGCAACATCCACATGTGTGAAGACGAAAATAGGGCACCTCCAGGTCCATTACATAATCATCATTCTCCCAATTAAAACGACCATTTTGGGTGGTATACCCCATGTTCAGACCTTCAGACCTACCCAAATTATTTTAGTTTCCATGCAATCCCACTACATCAAATTAACCCCCGCTACATCATGTGACATCCCATAAAACCCCCACACGGAGGTTTCTTAAGTCATGGTCATCCATGACTTGGATGATTACCGGGTACCCCCATGACTTAGGAAATATAGTCCTTTCCTGCCTCCCCCTTCACACTGAGCGAGTTTTCACCCAGCACCATTGTAGGAATGTATATAAAATATCATGAGGCAACATACCAAGGGTCTAAAGCACGAATTCAAAAAGGTCTAGAGTGCTGTAAGTCCACTGGTCTAGACCCTTGCCCGGTGGACCCTGTAGGGTGAGGTGCCTGAGACCTTTAGTAGTTGAGGGTATATATTTTCCGCACAACGGAGTTCAGACTTCAAAACTTCCTTTGATGTATATATATATACACAAATATGTGTATGTATGTATATATATATATATGTATGTGTGTGTGATATGGTTATCCAGTTATCCCCATCTTTTTCGCCAGCACTTGGCCTCATCCTTGCGCCAGCGTTGATCGCAAGCATCCAGATCACCCAGACTTGCGCGGGCCTTGGAGAGGTTCATTTGGTCAGCAACGATCATTGGGTGGTTTCTTAAGTCATGGGCGTATGCCCAAATCATGGAAGTCATGGATGACCATGACTTAGTATTGACACTTATTGAAACCCGTGGTGACTTGAGGATTATTTATGTTAAGAAACCCGCAATAATTGTGTGATATGCCACTTTGATGACCAGAAACCAGCAGCAACATGCAACAACCATTAGTCATCACTCAGCGATCCCATCAACCTTTCCTATGTGGTCCTGCCTGTGTCAGAAGGCTTCCAAAAAAGCACAGCCAAAACCAAACCCATGGGGCGCGCCACAGCATGAGCCAAACATCAGGGCTGATCTTTGTCAGTTTGGTTTCTGGTGGCTTAAAGGTGGCGGTGGCTGGGCATGGCTGGGCAGCCTACCCAAAAAATGTTGGTCAAGTATAGTCAAGTGGCAAATGGAAAGCACTGCTTTCCATCATCTGATGTCTATCATGCCGGCCCATTGGGAACCACATATTTGTCCTGCCTTGAGGAAGAACAAAAACAGTTCAATTGGGACAGAGTACGAAAAATCTCCTCGAGCTGACTAATTATAATGGAAAAGCAAACGTTGGCGGTCATGTTGTTTTGCCGTTTATGATTGTTGGTAAGCAATAAAACAGCTGCCAACGACCCAACACAGGCCAGTAGAGCGGACACAGCCTGTATACAAATCATCATCGTCGTCGTCGTCAATAATTAATAACAATAAAAAAAATAAAAATAACAATAATAATAATAATAATCATCATCATCATCATGCGTTCTGTACTTGGCATAGATGCGGGGTATCTATGGGATTTTTTCACGACCAAGTTTTGCGGCTGGCCTTTTGGCTGCAAAACTTAATGTCATATGGGAAAACAAAACGAAGTAACCCTGCTACTCGAAAAGTCCGCAGATATCAGGTTGAAAGAAGCCTATATATAGCCAACCCATAGCCACAATCAAACCATCTCTCAGAGTCATAACGATGAGGTTTGCAAAGTAGGATGTGGTCGGGGTCATGGCAGCCATGGTTAACAAAAGGGTCTGCATTCCATCCTCCTGTTCTACACTCCTGGTGGGATGGCACCTCTGCCCCAAAAGAAATCGGCCATACCACCTGGTTCAGAATTCATTGCGCAAACATTGTGGACCTCATTTTCTTAACAACTCTCTTGAACATAATGGGGAAAAACGCAAAAAATAGCCTGCACATGCCTGCACCACACATTTATACTTCGGCCCTGGAACCAAATTTATAGACAAATATATATGCATATGTTATATCTCTTCTTCTCTCCCTGGAGACTCAAGTAGACACCATTTACCTGTGCGTACATGGATGCCTGTGTGCGCCCACAAGTGAATCATTCTATATAATCTCTTCTCCCTATTACTAAAACTCCCCCAATTAAAAGAAAAATGGATTGGCAATTTCATTTTTTTGCTGGGTTACAATTGCGTTCTTAATTGTGGTAATTGAGAATCAATAGGAGAACAGGATGGTGAAACAATGGGTTTAACTCCCTATTAATAAAAATATAATGGTACCTGGAAGTTTTTTATTAGGGTCCCATCTCACAAGTTTTACTGTATTTCATCATGAAGGTTTTCATTGGAATATTCGGGGAAAACTTCGAAATCCAGTTTTTAGCAATATTTTAAATAGATTTTAATGAGGGATTTAATCAAATTTGAAATCGATTTGTTCATTTATATTATTAAAGTTTTCATTGGAATATTAGGGGAAAATATTAGGGGAAAGCTCCGAAATCCAGTTTTTGGCAATATGTTATTTAAAAAAAAATCCGGGATTTACTCAAATATGAAATCAATTTTTATTTCTATCATCAGGGTTTTCACTGGAATATTAGGGGCACCCTGATACAAAACACATACACCCTAATAATAAAAAATCACGGTGGGGAGCAGGGATTATACTCATCTTGTTTGAAGGTTCGTGGTATTTCTCTAGGACTAGTGTGAAAAGACTGGTTTCCAATGTTGTCACCAGGCCTCCCAAAGCCCAGCTTCGGGGGTACCTCGCTTTGGCACCACAGGGTTTCACATGGTTTCTGCAGCACAAAATCGCTGCTTTCAATTGACAGCAGGTGTTCTTTTAATCTCTGGCAGTCTTTCTTTCCACCATCCCTGGAGTCTAGAGTGGATACACTATGTATGCATACAAAATACAAGGTGTCATTAAGATCATGTAGTGTTTTGTGTTTATTGAAGATATTGAAGGAAGTTTAGAAGTCAAACTTCCGACAATATGGATTGATGAAAAGCAGTGATGGGAAGAGTAAGAGAAGAGAAGAAAAGAAGAAAGAGGATCAAAGAAAAAACAGTCAGAAGAAAGAAGATCCAGGTGCGCGAAAAGGTAGGCAAGTCGCGAAACACTGTGTTTTTCCAATGATTTATGGCTCCGGAGGGTCGAAACGTAGGCTCGCCAAAGCGGCGGGTGCGGAACCATCTGGCCAGATGAGACATGAAAAATTGCACGCCGTTGTGGCGCCAAGCACATTTCCAAGTCAAAATGTACAAAACACCCCAACACTGGACCACTTTTGGAAATTGAGATGTCGAAAAAACGCACGCCGTTCTGGCGCGAAGCACATTTCCAAGTCAACATAAACAAAACACACACTGTTCGGACCACTTTTGGAAGTTGACATGTCGGAAAAATGCACGCCGTTGAAGTTGCGATGTCGAAAAAGTGCACGCCGTTGTGGCGCGAAGCACATTTCAAAGTCAAAAGTGCTAAAAACTGACGGTCTCGGGGCACTTTTGGAAGTTGACCTGTCGAAAAAGTGCGCCGTTGTGAAACGTAAGGGTTTTGCAGCAGTTTCAACTACAACCACTACACTACACTAATTGCATTACACTACACCACACCACACTACATTACAGTAACCACAACTACAGCTACAACTACGCTACTTTACACTACACTACCCTACCCTACCCTACATTACATTACACTACATTCATTACACCACCACAAACGCAACTGCAACTACACTACACTAATTACATTACACCACAACTGCAACTTCACAGTCACTACACTACAACTACAACTATGGCTGCACTACACCACACTACATCCAGCAGTTGTGGGTGAGGTGACTGACTAGGTGACCACTGCAACCATTGTAACCATTCCAAAAAAACACAACTCCAACCACCTATCAGTCCATCAGTGGATTTGCTCTGCCATCCGTGATTCACAACAACCAAGCTCTCCTATAGGTTTCCTATTTCTGAAACTTTCGCCACCGCCTTGCGCGGTACTACTGGTAATATCTGATATCTGCCATAAACCATAGAATTCATCTATTTATGTCACAGTCTGACTAATGTTAGCCTCTGATTAGAAGCTTGGTACCCTATTGTGAGAAATTTCTTGCTCCTAATTCAGTAACATGCTAATTGTTGGGGGGGAGCCTCTATTGTGAGATTTTTTTTCCAGATGTTTTTTTTTTCAACTTTTATTTTTATTCCAAATGCTTTTTTTTTTGAAATGAATTAATTTATTTTTATTTTTAGTTCATCTATTTTTATTTTTTTTATTTTTACTTTTTACTTTTCTATTTTAATTTTATGTTTATTTGCTATTGTTTCATTTTTTTCATTGTTTCCTTTCTTATCTTTTTCATTGCTTTATTTTTCATTAATATATTAATTACCCTATGAGTAGCTCAGTTACTCAATAATATAATTGTCTGGATGGTACTCTATTGTGAGCACCCACTTTTGGGAGTGAAAAAAACACAAAACCCTTTCTCCACCTTTCTTTGGCTAAAGCTGGTCCCTTTACTGTAGAAAGCCATATTTGTGTTAAAGCTTTCAAAATGCAAGGTTTCCCAAATAATTAGATGCCTTATTAAACCCTTATTAAAAAACAGCACCCAGACAATTTTTCAAGGGTGTACCTCATGAGTGGCTCAGTTACTGAATAATATAATTGTTTGGATGGTACTCTATTGTGAGCACCAACTTTTGGGAGTGAAAAAAAAAGCAAAACCCTTTCTCCACCTTTCTTTGGGTAAAGCTGGTCCTTTCACTTTAGAAAGCCATATTTGTGTTAAAGCTTTTAAAATGCAAGGTTTTTCCAAATAATTAGATGCCTTATTAAACCCTTATTAAACAAAAGCATCCAGACAATTTTTCAAAGGTGTACCTCATGAGTGGCTCAGTTACTGAATAATATAATTGTTTGGATGGTACTCTATTGTGAGCACCAACTTTTGGGAGTGAAAAAAAAAGCAAAACCCTTTCTCCACCTTTCTTTGGGTAAAGCTGGTCCCTTTACTTTAGAAAGCCATATTTGTGTTAAAACTTTAAAATGCAAGGCTTTCCAAATAATTAGATGCCTTATTAAACCCTTATTAAAAAACAGCATCCAGACAATTTTTCAAAGGGGTACCTCATGAGTGGCTCAGTTACTGAATAATATAATTGTTTGGATGGTACTCTATTGTGAGCACCAACTTTTTGGAGTGAAAAAAAAAGCAAAACCCTTTCTCCACCTTTCTTTGGGTAAAGCCGGTCCTTTCACTTTAGAAAGCCATATTTGTGTTAAAGCTTTAAAATGAAGGTTTCCCAAATAATTCGATGCCTTATTAAACCCTTATTAAAAAACAGCATCCAGACAATTTTTCAAGGGGGTACCTCATGAGTGGCTCAGTTACTCAATAATAAAATTGTTTGGATGGTACTCTATTGTGAGCACCAACTTTTGGGAGTGAAAAAAAAGCAAAACCCTTCTCCACCTTTCTTTGGGTAAAGCTGGCCCCTTTACTGTGAAAGCCATAGTTGTGTTAAAGCTTTAAAATGCAAAGTTTCCCAAATAATTAGATGCCTTATTAAACCCTTATTTAAAAACAGCACCCAGACAATTTTTCAAAGGTGTACCTCATGAGTGGCTCAGTTACTGAATAATATAATTGTTTGGATGGTACTCTATTGTGAGCACCAACTTTTGGGAGTGAAAAAAAACAAAACCCTTTCTCCACCTTTCTTTGGGTAAAGCTGGTCCCTTTACTTTAGAAAGCCATATTTGTGTTAGCCATATTTGTGTTAAAACTTTAAAATGCAAGGCTTTCCAAATAATTAGATGCCTTATTAAACCCTTATTAAAAAACAGCACCCAGACAATTTTTCAAGGGGGTACCTCATGAGTGGCCCAGTTACTGAATAGTATAATTGTTTGGATGGTACTCTATTGTGAGCACCAACTTTTTGGAGTGAAAAAAAAAAAACGAAACCCTTTCTCCACCTTTCTTTTTCTTTGGGTAAAGCTGGTCCTTTCACTTTAGAAAGCCATAGCTGTGTTAAAACTTTAAAATGCAAGGTTTCCCAAATAATTAGATGCCGTATTAAACCCTTATTAAAAAAACAGCATCCAGACAATTTTTCAAGGGGGTACCTCATGAGTGGCTCAGTTACTCAATAATATAATTGCTTGGATGGTACTCTATTGTGAGCACCAACTTTTTGGAGTGAAAAAAAAGCAAAACCCTTCTCCACCTTTCTTTGGGTAAAGCCGGTCCTTTCACTTTAGAAAGCCATATTTGTGTTAAAGCTTTAAAATGCAAGGTTTCCCAAATAATTAGATGCCTTATTAAACCCTTATTAAAAAACAGCACCCAGACAATTTTTCAAAGGTGTACCTCATGAGTGGCTCAGTTACTGAATAATATAATTGTTTGGATGGTACTCTATTGAGAGCACCAACTTTTGGGAGTGAAAAAAAACAAAACCCTTTCTCCACCTTTCTTTGGGTAAAGCTGGTCCCTTTACTTTAGAAAGCCATATTTGTGTTAAAACTTTAAAATGCAAGGCTTTCCAAATAATTAGATGCCTTATTAAAACCTTATTAAAAAACAGCACCCAGACAATTTTTCAAGGGGGTACCTCATGAGTGGCCCAGTTACTGAATAGTATAATTGTTTGGATGGTACTCTATTGTGAGCACCAACTTTTTGGAGTGAAAAAAAAGCAAAACCCTTTCTCCACCT